GTGAGATTTAGGGAGAGCTTAGTGCAATAGTGCTTAACAGCACTTCTTAGCAATAAAAGCTCATCAAACACATTATAGTTTTAAAGAGAGAAGAGACCCGTGAATGTGCTGCTTTCATTGTCAGCTTGGGTTTGTTTGTACAGCAATTGCCACAGTAGGGTTGTTACCCCCAGGTGTTAACAGAGGAGAAGTTACATATGCACATAAATGTGTTTATTTGTGCATATTGCTAAAGGTCCGAAAAGAGAAGCAGAAGCACATGGGGAAGGGAAAGACACTGGCCAGCAGGAGTGGCATCAGATCCTAACTGTTGTCACCCTGTCTTTGTCACCCAAACAAAGGTGAGTTTTAGGAAGGGCCCAGGGGAGGATTACACGTAGTTGTACTGTTACTTATGGAAATACCTCCCAAATAGATGACAAATACAAGACAGCAAGCCATGGCAATCCAACAGGTGTGAGGTGGAGGCACCAGGACACTTGTAGAGACTTAATGTGTCTGCATTGAAAGAGAACAGATAGAGAGAGCATAGATAAACTGAAAGGGATTTGGAAGTGAAAACAATCCTCAGTTGATACAACAGGGAAGAGAGCCATTTGAGAGATACAGAGAGAGAGATGACATTGTAAACAAAGGTACTGGGTAAAAAAATACCTGTTTCATGAGTGTCGTGGACAATTTTCTAAGCACGGATTCATCACAGGACAGTGAGTCAAACTATCTAGTACCAATATGGCATGTATGGGAGTCACAGAGACACAACTTGGACCTCAGCTGTGTCCTCCTTAACATTCATGCCTGCAGTGGTACTAACAGGAAAAGCTCAGCAATGACTCACTTGATGGTTTCCAGTCACTGCCTTTCAGCATGTTGACCAGTGTGATCTCACTGTTACCTTGTGCTTGCATTATTTGTTTTCTCTGTAGATCTGTCGGCTCTTTGTTTTGATTACAAGGTGTTCAACAAAACAATTTAAAAAACCAACACAGAATGCTAACACAATGGGGCTCAGAGGCTGGCAGTTCTGACTGAAAGTACTGCCAGTCCTACCCTCCCCTGTTTGTCTCTCTCATTGGGATACAGCACCTTCTGCCTCCCAGCAACACAAATCTTGTACAGCTGTGTTTTAAACTGAATGGGGCAATTGATTTGGCCAGAAACACTGGGGGCTGGAGGGAGTGCAGGAATTCTTTTTGCTGGACCATCTTCCCCATCGGGTTGGGTGCAAAACACCCTGTGGGTTGTGCCAGGGCAAGGGGCAGCACAGAATCAGGGCAGAAAAGGGGGCTGTGGGACGTGGCCATCCAGAATCCAGTATTGGCACCAAGTACTTTAAAACACTACATCACAGCTATACACATGGACATGTAGGCATCATCTCTACACAAATAATTAATATCCATAAGTTTAAATTTTAAAAATAGTGTTTATAATCCCCTAAGAAGAAATTCATCTTTCCTAAATGACTGCAGAAAATTCATTCAAATATTAATAGTCTGAATAAGAAACAAGACTGCAGCTGGTAAAATAGGACCCAGATTTTCTTTGTCACTTGTGAGAGCCCCCATCACACAACACAGCCAGCAGTTACCCAAACCAAAGCCCCTGCCTTGGAGAAAAACTAACAGTAATTGGTAGTGGTTTGAGGAACCTCCCAGTAACAGCCCAGCAGAATGTGAAAGGCAAATGAAAGACTAGGGCAAAGGAAGAGCGTTCTGTTGTGCTTTCAAGAGGTGCTTTCAACTCAGTAATAAGCTGAAATAAGTAGATTTTTGTCCCCTTTAATTTTGAAAAACCTAACGTGGAGCTTAAAATGACACTTCTGCAATTCTAATTTTGTTGTTTGGGTTGTGATTTCTTTTAAAACCTACTATTCACAAAACTATCTGCTTTTTCCCCCCCCCACTGACTCGCTCTCTTGGTTATATAAAATTACTGGTGCTTTTGTCATTCCTGTGCCCTGGTGGAGAACTAGCTCAGCAACATTTGTATACTCAAACAAAGCAAGTAAGACTTACTTTGTTCCCTGAAGTATTCCTTACGCTGAGAAAATAAAAGAGAAATCCCAGCCCCACTGAAGTGAACAGAAACAAATCACACCTCAAATTCAGTAGCCTTAAGATTCGACCTCAACTGTTTTTATTTCCATAGTCAGGAGTGCCAGACTGAATCCATCTGGAGTGTCTCCCTGGGCATTCAGCTTGACTTGTGACATGATACATTCAACTGGACTTGTGAAGATGAACTCTTAGTTCTAAAGTCTAAAATAATGAAAGTCAAGGTTATATACTTAACTGATCATCAAATAATGTGCCCTTGTTGCAACTTTAAAAGCAGTTCTGCAAAGGAGCTTCACTAAATTAGATAACAACCCATGCTCCTAATTACATTTCTTGTTACAGTTAACAAGAAAAACACTTCCAACCTCTGAGCATGCAGGCTCATGCTGAGACATGAGGAACAAACAGATTAATTTCATTAGCACACATTGCCACGTCTAATAAAGCTATAACAGGCCAAATGCTCTAATTTACACTCCTGAAACTCAGCCTCCCTCCAGTCACACTGTTACACTTTCAGGATGCCAAGAAGGGAAATGGATCTGGCAATTGTCACTGGCTGGAAGCGCAAACAATTTTTCCCTTAACCGCATCGGCTTTTCAGATTTACCGAGAATATAAAACCCTGAAAGCTTCCTGCAGTCATTAAAGAGATCTGACTCACAAAAGAGGAATCACTCTGCTGAGTTGGGAGATGTCAGTTGACACAGTTACTAAACTGATTGCCAGAAGCTGGGAAGTTAGCTACCAGCCTGATTTTCTAAACATTTTTCCCTTATTTTCTGCTAATGGCTCGTGCTAGAAGGAAGTTGCTCAGGTTAGATGGCTCTTGAGACCTAGTATAGCAGTGTTTGTGGTTTTGGAATAGATGCACGCTCTTACTACTATCACTGGCCAGTATCAATTAGATCATCAGATGATAATTTATTGTTGTGGTGCCTGAATTGCTGTCTGTGGTGATACTTTAACATCAAGCATGCTTTAGCTCTAGAAAAGATGAATAGCATTTACAGGGCACTGGTTAAAATTAAATGGCAATAGGAGTCTTAAATATCACTGAGTGCTTGAAAAGAAGTTCAATTTTAACAAATAAAGAGAAATTACTCATTCAAGTATAGGAAGGGGGAAGAAACTTCCTTGAACAAATTTCCCGGTATAAGACATCACACAAAATAACTAGCAGAGAATACTTTAAGAATAAACAATCGAGATTCCCTTCTCAGGAGATGAAGATGTGTAGCTGAGATCGCTAAAAGCTCCTTAGCCTGAGCCTCCTAACATGTATTGCTAACCAGAGCCAAGTCTGGGAAATCACAAACATATGACAATTTTCCTTCCTGCTGCTAGAAACTCTGCCTAATCTCCCAGCAAGTGGTCCCATTTGGCTCATACTCAAAGCCTGAAAGCAATCCCAGTTTCCTATAGCTTAATATCATTTGTATGCCAATTCAGCAAGCAGAGGCATTACAAGAACCCTCCTGGCATGGTTACACCTTACCCGGGTCCAGGTATTTTCCTCAAACCGGGCAGTGCTGCACAAAGCATGGGCTGCTCCTGTGCTTTTCACCAGGCTGGCCAGCCCCTCCACCCATGCCAGTGTTGGAAGTGAATGTTCACATTATATAGTGAGCTTTATTTTGTATGAATACACAGACCCAAGTGCTGAGCAGCAGGCACGAATCCCTCACATTACAAAGCAGCGAGGAACTCCATGAATTTCAGCCAACACTAGATCGAGCCACATGAGGTGAAGGAGTGGGTAATAAGCTGTTAGATTTACTTCAGTTACTTTATGCCTTTTTAGACTTGCCTTAATTAAATTCATTCTTTAAACTTGTCTTAATTAAATTCTTTCTGGAACATAAATACCGCTCAGTTTCCACTGATCTGGAAAAGGCTCTTTTTAGGCCAGCAAGACGTTGTCCTTGAGGCATTTCCTAGAACTAGGATAGAAATCAGTGCTTATAGCTTATAAAGGTTGTTTTGTTATCATGCTCAGTGATTTTGCTCAATGAGAATCATACCACACTTCCATTGTGCCAATGTTTGTATTTTCCAGAAAAAAGGTTAGTAAATAGTGGCCCCAGAGTATTATCTGACAAACCAGTGTTCTATTCAAAACACGAAAACAACAGATGCTGCTTTCCTTATGCATCTAAATAATCACAAGGTACTGAGTGGTGCTGCTCTTTACAGTACTCAACAAGACAATCTGTGAAAGTAAGTGCAACTATTTGTCATCACCACGTCTACCTTATACCATGATTTATGTTTAGATGCAAATCCTCTTTGCAGAAAGCAAATCTCCCAATGAAATCCCATCAAGAACCACTATAAGCCATTCAATTAACAGTTTCTTGTAGTGTTTGTGACACTGGCTGTAAAGTACACATATGAGGCAGGTAGAGCAACCAGAGTAAACAGCAGCAGGTTATGAAGGGATCTTGTGAAGAAAGAGCAAAGACCTGGTAATCAGGAGACCTGGACTATCTTCCAGGGGAGGCAGTAAAATTACTGTGTAACGAGGCAAGCCATCACACCTATAGGAAAAGTTAAGCCAGTCAGGTTGAAATAAAAAGCATTTAATGTCTTGAATTCAGTGAAGCCTGAATCAGTGATAAGAGCCCCGTGAAACTGTTGTGGAAATTAATCTAATAATTAATAATACAGGGAATCATTGAAAAAACAGGCAGGGGGGGTTAGTGGCATTTGGATTATAGGAGAGCTGTTGTTTTTCTGATCCTAACCCACATTTGTACTTTCCTCTTTATCATGTCGACGTTTGCAAGCAATAAAAGGGCATTATGTGCTGGTCATTGCATCTGCTCTTGAGATAAATCTGTGTTAGCATTCCAAAGGGTCAAGGAACTCTTCCAGGGCAAACAAATTCTGGAGCACTGATGCCAGATGGTGTGTGTATATAAAGTGGAAAATGAGAAAAGCAATTTACTGTGTTCCTGTTCCAGGGAGAAGTATCACCCGGGAAGACAACAGAAGAGGTGAGAAACTACTGAGAAATTGAAGACACAGTTTTCTTGTTCTCTATCTGTTTTGTGTTCTTTCTATCTGAAAAGTATAGGTACATAGAGGAATGGCAGTCCTTATTCAGGAAAAGTTATTCCAAAACGTTAACAGGAATATTTGACTAAAGAATGAAGGGTTAAATTAATAACATGTATAAAGAATTTTGCATTGATTTATGTAACAGGTTCTAGATTTATCTGTATAGCTGGCTAATATATAGTCTGTGTTTAGAGAAATTTTGTTCATAAAGACAAAATGGTTTTATCTTGCATTTTTGACCAGACTCTACAAAAGAAGCGGAAAACAGTGGATCATATTCTTAATTATAAATAAGCATATCTTCAACAAAGACAAGTAATCAATGTAATTTATCCAGCTCAAGTGCTCACCGCTACTAGCTCACTTGCAGCTGTATTTGTTGTGTAATTTCCAAGTGTGCAAAACAACTCTGCAAATTTTAAAACTAATTAATATTTTTGTCAAATCGAGTGAAGCAGAGAAATGTCTCTTGGAAGGGTTCAAAGATAATTCAGGTCAGTCTAAGAAATTTAAAATTATTTTCTTAAACACTAAAAATTATAACAAGTCTTCATAAATAACCTGAACTATGGATGGCCTTTATCACTTGCCACCACACCTCAGAATTAAGTAGCAAAAGTGTAAGTGTTCAGTTATAAGGAAAGAAGGAGAATGTGTGTCTTAATGTGTGTCTTAATATTTCTGTGTGCATCTTTGCTGAACATATTTTACTTGATTATATATGTAGATTTTTTAAAGCAATCTTTATTTTCATGTTATGGCTTCTCCTAGAAAAAAAAGGCTATAAACAAAGACTTCTCTCCATACAGGACAAAGAACTGGACAATGCTCAGGTTTGCTGTCACCCTCTTTGCTGTCATAACGTCATCCACCTGCCAAAAATACGGATGCCTGGAAGGGGACACCCAAAAACTGAAGCCAAGTCCTGAGTCAGATATGCAGGAGTGCACTCTGTACTCTAAATGTAAGAGAGGTTTAATTTTTGCCAAATATAGTCGAGAAGTACAGTATTGTACACACTAATTGTTTTGGCAGTTCCCCTAATTTCTCAAAAGTATGTAAGATTCAGTATACATTGTATTTGAAAAGCTTCCTTCATTGGCATATTGCTGCATGTAAACCAAGAATAAGATTCTGGGTCTTAACAAAGTCAACTGCAAAACTCCATTGACTTCATTTCTTTTCTTCTAAAAATCTGATGCAGTTTGCCTCTCTTGTAACTCCATCTGCTAAAAATTGTTTAGAGCAAAGATGACTGGTTTATTGTGATTGAGTATAAAAATTAATTGTAGCAGACATGAAACAGGAAAGGTTGAAATCAAAATTCTATTGGGAGCAAAGTACAGTACTTATTACATTTTTTCGACTATTTGGTTTATGTTTGATAGTTTTCAAAGTGAGTATCCCTTGGGATATAACGTCTGGCAGAACACTGGTAAAATTCTTGGGGCTCTCTGGGCACACCTTGACAAAGCACTGTTGGTGACAGTCCACCTCACTTAGCACACAGCTATTTCCAAACCCAAAAATTTTAGAGCTTGAGTACATCTCCTAGTTAGCACTAAGATTTTACCATATCATGGTCCAAATCAGATTAATCTTACATTTTGAGTCTTCCAAATACAGCATTTAAAAAAAAAAAAAAAAATCCTTATTTCAAAATCTTTGTTTTATTCCCAACAGCTTCGTGTTGCTATGCAGACTTCACAGAGCAGTTGGCTCATTCCCCGGTAATTAAAGTAAGCAACAGCTACTGGAACAGATGTGGGCAGCTCAGTAAATCGTAAGTGAGCTTTGAAGTTGTCTGTGTCCTGCTTCCATGTGTCTGTGCTGTGGCAGCCACACAGCTGCTGGTGGACACCAGATTGCCCTAGAGATTGTCACCCAGCCCGGTTCCCATCATCCTGTGTCTACACCTGAGCAAAGTCTGACTCTTCTTCTCCTCTCACTAAAGCTCATGAATACCTAATTTATCCTCCTTAGGCCATTTTATCATGAAAAATTATGTTTTTTTCAAGTTTGCTTTTAGCACAGAACGAGGTGTAGCAGTTGTAAACCCAGTAGGTAACAGCCACACCACACCTCTGTAGGTCTCCAGCACAACCATCACCCACCAGTGAGTGTGATCCCTAGTGAACAGGGACCAGGCTTCTTTCTTTGTTTAGAAAGAACATCAACTAGATTATTAAATCTCAGGGGAAGAAAAAAAAAATCCACAAGAGTCCAGAAATGAAACTTCTGAATATTATTTAGAATAAAAATTCTTGTAGCCCAGTGGGTTTTGTAACCATGCGGAATGTCTCCATAATTAAGACTTTTACTACCCCATTAGATGTTAAAGCTGTGAAACATGGCAAGTTATAGAAATAAAAGGATGAAAGTACAAAACAATTAAGCAATACCAGATGTGCAAAAGTAACGGCTCTTGCCTGCCACTCCCAGGAGAGCAGCACAGTTTGTGATTTTAAGTAACTTCAGCTGGGCTGTGGGAAAATCTAAAGAATAGTGAAACCGTGAGGCTACAGCATGGACAATGTTTTGTGCCATAGCTTTAAACTACATTTTATTATTGCCCGGAATCATTCTTGCCAGGAAAACTCAAGGCCTCAAAAGTTTACGGAAAGCTCCCACAAACAGGGCTGAAATATGCATGGAAACATTTGTGCACTCTGTAGCTGGCTGTGGGGATTGCACGGTCAGAGTCTGTGCACAGCGCCAAAGGAACGACTTTGGAACTTAAATACTAACAGGGCCAGAGGATGCTTTTCTGTGTTTTTCTCCTAATTTGTAGGACTGCATCCACATCAAAGCAGGCCTAGAAAACTGAGGCTGTAGCCTTGATGTTCAGAAACGGGCTTATTTGTGGTTTTTCTCATCCACTGCAGCTGTGAAGATTTCACAAAGAAAATCGAGTGCTTTTACCGGTGTTCTCCACACGCTGCTCGCTGGATCCATCCCAATGACACCGCTGCTATTCAGGCTGTTCCACTGTGTCAAAGCTTTTGTGATGACTGGTAGGTTCAGCTCTTCAGTGGAAGTATTTTTATTTAGTTTTAATATGCCCATGATTCAATGGTGTCGTGCCACCTTTTCTCTTGTTCTGCTTCTCCATTTCTTGTTTGCCATCTCTACTTTTTCCTCTGCTAAGATACTACCCCTAAAATAATAATGACACACTCTGTGAATGCAGGATGGAGGCACTAAACTGAGATTAGTGACTCAGGGACAGCACTGCCCTGCTCTCAGTGAGGATGCCGTGCACTGGCATCATGACAGAGGAGCTCCCACCACGTTGACAGGCACTAACAGCAGCCTAACACCCTTTGAAAAGTCCATGTCTGTGAGTTAGTGTTCATGCAGGTAGCATTTTCAGTCTAAATACTTGATCACTATATGATACATTTCTTCTGGGTGCAGAAAATGCACTACAAAATCAGCAAAGAAGCCACTTCCTGTGGGATTTCATGTAACGATTAATTCATGTAACAAATTATCTTCATTCCTTCATATTTTGCCTTTGACCTTAACTCTTCCATTCCATTATCACACTCTCTAAAATCTCTTCTGAAAGCCTGAGAGAGTAAATTGCAGCCAAGTAATGCTAAAATTATTAATGGCAAGGGGCAGCATAATAGCATTTAATTTTGTTCCAAAATACAGCATCAGGGAATCACGTTGTTTTTTGAGCACAGGGCACATGGTGGGACAACCCTTAGTCTTGGGGTAGAAGCATTATATTCCTGTAGGGTTCTGAGATTTTCCCAGTGATACACAGGGAGCATAAATCCCTCTCTCTCTGAAATGCTGGATCTTAAAAAACATCATCCTGTGACATATAAACCTCAGTCAGCCTCATATGAATGTTGTGCCCAGTCACTAGAGTAACTTGTCTGGAAGGGTAAATTGTTGTGAAGCATAGTGCAAACAGCACAGGCTCTGTTCACACTATGGGATTCTAACTGCTAGCTTTCCATGAAAGTGATGGTCTGTGAATGTCTGGATCCCTTAGGCTGCTCTGAAAATCGTGGGAAACTGTTATGATACTTCTAAAAATGTTATAAAAGAGATTTTCTTAAAAGTGCAGAAAATGCAGAGCACAGGGTAGTGCAAGGCAGGGTTCTCTTGCACTGCTCTCTGCTGTGCCTTCCTTAGTGCTTACACAACTTGAATATTATTGACATGTGGATCCATTTCCATTCTCATATTCCCTCCAAGGGCAAAGTCATGTATGCAGTGCAGAATTTTGGTAGGATTTGCTTTTAAATATGTCTCCACTCCTTTGTGCCAGAGAAGGAAATGAAGCATAGCTTGCATTTGTAATGGAAGATAGAAGGATTGGTGTGTCTCTTAGCTTCCCTAGAGTTTTCTCTAGTGATGAATTTTATTTCTGTGTCAGGAAACTCCATGTGCCTCAGGAACAGATTTGTCATATGCAGTCTTCTTTCCTAAGTTTTTGGTAATTTTTTAAACTTAATCCACATTATTGACCTCCTTGAAGATAAAGACTGAGACCTTGAATTTCTCTCAGCGCTCAGAATCCTAGAGCTGAGTACCAAATATTACCAAATTTTGCATTTGGATATTAAAGCACTGGGGTTGCCAGTGAGCTTTACCATAGATCTAACAACAAAATTATAAAATATCAACATCTAAAACTAATGTATCCCAAAAAAAGTAGCATAAAAAGTCATCACCAAACTGCTATATTGAGTGAAAGAGTAGAGATAAAAGAAAATGTGTGCTGTAAGTTTAGTTTGCACCTATGAAGTGGTTTAAGCCAGCTTTAGTATATGTGAGATTTATACCAAAGTGTATATTGTGGGTCAGTATTGCATTGCAAAATCCTCAGTGTCCCCTGGGCATTGCCAGAACCTGCAGGTAAACAGGACTTTTAACTTCCATTGCTGGAAAGTATGGTGGGGTGATCGAGAGCTGCTGCACAGGAAGAATTGACCCTTTTCCAGTACAAGTCTCCTGACAGAGAGCAGGCTCTGCTCTGAACAAACACTGAACAATGATCTGTTGCCCCTGTTGGCATCACAGATGCCTGGCCTGAATCAAAAATGTAGTGACGACCCACTACCCTGAACACTGCTCTGTGTGTGCCTGCCTAATGCCAGTGTCAAACCCATTCCTTCACCCTGCCAAAGGCCTGAGGCTAGAAAAGAGTCTGGACAGAATTCCCAGTCTTTCTGGTGATTTAAAGTAACATTTTTTCATGTTCTATTCACTGGAGTCCCTTTAGCATGCTGTAGCACTGCTGGTGATGTGACCTACTTTCTCTGCACACTGTGAGTGTGCCTGCTGCATACTCTGTGTCTTTGTGGCCAGAAATGTGCAGAGTATTCTGAATGAGCAGTGACTTAATTTAAAAGAAATTCATCTGAGTAGCTTGGGGCCTTCCTTTTCTTCCTATTGTCTTAGAATTTCTTGCTCCCACTAGTCCTAAAACTATTGCTTTTGAAAGAATCCAGTGTGTAAGCCACTTTCTCATTCACCTGTGAAAGGGCCTTGTACCCCCTAAAAGAGAAACAGCTCATTATAAAAAATACAGGGGAAAAAAGCTTTGAAATAACAATATCCTGCCCACTGAGCATAAGGAACTAGTATGTTCAGGAAGTATTTATGTTTCTCACAGGTTTTAATTAATATTTGAAGAAACAACTTATGGGTTCCTGGGCAGCAGAAATCAGACTTTCCACAAGTCATGATTTTTCATAAACTTGGCTTCATAATTATTTCCATTGGGGTAAAGAAAACCCCATAACAATAGAGTTATGCCTTGCCATCTGCTCATAGAACAAACCACAGAGTTAGCCAATAATCATAATTAGGAAACATTTCATCTCACAATTCAATAAATAATGGTGAATAAAAATATAAATACTTTAATAAGCATATTCTATTCAAGTTCCCGAAGAAACCAGATGCATTCCATGAATATTAATTTATCAAATTGCAGCCTCTATTTCCAGCAGAGCCCCTCCCTCTGACAGCAGATTAATGGATGAACATGTTTGAGAATATGGGTCTCCTGCCCCAGACCTGCTCAGGCCCTGATTACCCTCCATCTGTTACTGCTCTTTATCCCTTCAAAAAGCCCAAAAAAACAGTGTGAAGGTTTTGCAGATGTGCATGTTCTGACCTTTCTGCATTTGCAAATGTACTGCAATGTCCTGTTCTTTTAGTTCTATGACCACATGACAACCCACATATTTCATTTAAAAATGTAAGGCTGCAGCCCTCGTGATATCAAAAAAGTTTTGGAAACATGGCCTTGAAAATGAAAAATTTCAAACAGAAAATATATCCAAAGGCATTAATTACAAATATCACACTGAATGATGCTCACTTTTTGGAAGCTGTGCCTTATGGTTTTGGCACTCTCAGTTACTGGGTGTGAATAATCTCCCTAAAGCCAATGAGACTAAATTTAAGTAGATGTTAACTGATTTGCAGAAAAGGATCCTCAAGAAAGGTAAGAGCCAAAAAGTAGAACATAAAAAAGAAGTGGAAGGAAGGAAATTATGTAGGATAATAGTAAGTCATGAGATCTCTCATCATGTAGACCAGCCAGTTGCACACTTTACTCATTCCAGGTCATTTATAGCCTTTTTTCCACATTACCACTTACAAGTAAAAAAGAACTTCAAATTTAAGGTTTTAGCCCTATACCCTGCAATATTTATCTTTCCTCCATTACTTCAAGTTTAACTGCTTTGAAAACATCATTTTGAGGCTGACAGCCTGTTAGTTTATATGATTTTGTCGTTTGTGGATTTTCCTTATTTTCAGTGCACATTCCTCAGAGCAACCCCTCTGCCCAGGAAACATCAGTCTTCTCCCATATTAATTCACAAATACAAACTTTCCCCACACCTCCCTCAAGTGACAGTTGACCCTTGGCATCCCTGTGCTCTGTCACAATGTTGAACATCAGCATTTGTGAAACCCCCTCCCACACAGTGTTTCCTCCACTGAGTAACATCAGATAACCAAGCAGAAAACACCCAGGCCACGAGCCCTTTGCTCAAATCTGTGAGTATAAAACCTGGTGAGTGAACTGTTTAGTTTTCACGGGGATTTAGGTCTTCCTGGCCAGCTTGGAGTTTATGTACATGTCAAGCAAAGATAACGTGCACATTTCTTGAAGATCAGTTGCTAAGCTGCACTGCAATCACACTGCATTAGCAACAGACCCCCTGGACACTTTTTGAGTTGAATGTGAGTCCACAGAAAAAGAGTGAGAGGAATAACTGTGTCTTCCACACTGATCTCCACAAAGGTACGAAGCCTGCAAAGATGACTCCACATGTGTTCGTAACTGGCTGACGGACTGGGAATGGGATGAAAGTGGAGAAAACCACTGTAAGAATAAATGTATCCCATACAGTGAGGTAAGAAAACTGGATCAACTGAAGCAGAAAATATGACATTAGGAGTGCTTCCCCCTCCCCCCCCAAATATATGGGAATGAAATGCCATCAATGAATTACCTTTACTTCAGCAGTTCCAAGCCATACCTACATCAGACTTTTTAAATATAGACATTTTCAAACATTTATATTTATGTACATCACTTACCAAAGTATGTATACATTTAATTAATCACTATTCATTCCACTTGTGAAACAAAAGTTCAAGCAGCACTGATATTTTAACCACAGTGGGATTTAGAAAGTAAAAGATAATGAACGTTGCTTGTACAGTGGAGACACTGGGATGCATTTCATAAGGTTCCTTACACAATCAGGGGCTCTACACTCTTCCTTTTTTTTAAATTGGGATGTAAATTCCCAAAACACTGAGGAATTTTTAATGTTTTCTTGCCTATTAGGCATCTTTGCCCTTTTCTCTATTTTACCTTGTTATGTTCAAGTCATTCTCCATCTTCCACATCCCTATATCCTGACATTCTTCCAATTGTCTCCCTTTTATTCTCCTTAGACCTATTGTATCTCTCAGGTGTGTTCACCACTGTGTCTGGCAGTTGTAGGCAGAGCTAACTGCTCTTTGTAACTCTGGTGGTTAAAGAGCAGCACTAACAAGGTTTCTGAGAGCTCATCCCATCTTTCTGAGAAGGTTTAATGGTTGGGATAACTAATTTTGTGAGCAAAAGTGTATAAAATGAGAACTGACAAGACTCACAGGAGCAAGGTTACCTGGAACCTGATCTACAGACCTCTCAGGAGTCAGGATTTTTTTAGTGACTCAAGTAAATTTAGCTTCAGGGCAATATAACACAGCCCAAAACTGCTACACTTAATTGAATATTTTTAGCAGTTGAACTTTACTGAGTCCATGAAAAACTGTCCAAATTGCAGAAGTAAACCAAATTTAAGTGAGGTGCTTAGGGACTGGTAGTAAGGCTTGCAGATTCATTGTTTTGAATTGAATTCAAATTCCTGTACTTTCAAAAGTCAGTTCAGCAACTGATATAAGTGGAAGACACAGTCCAGTTAGTGCAGGACTGCTGTCTGCCTTGCAAAAGTGACACTAATCAGCAGGCTCAGGAAGGTGGCCAAAAACAAATGGGCTGTGGAAACTTAAAGCTTCGTTTCCCAGATGTGCTAAATCATCAGTAGTTCCAGATGAAGTGAAAAACAAAATTATAATCTCCGTAAATAATCTCCAGTCTCTGTTCAAACTGTCTCTGGTTCAGAGATAGGAGTTTTTAACCTTGAGTTCCCCTGTATTTATTTCTTAAAGAAAATATACCATCTGCAGGGAAAAACACGCAGCAAATCCTGAGGTCTTATCGCTTGAGACCAGGCGCAGCTATTCCTAAACTAAATGGAACCACACCCTAAACTGCCCATGTTTTTCACCAAAAATAGGCTTGCATGGTAAGTAGGAATAAAGATGAAGTTTCTTCAGAGAAATTGAAAAAAAAAAAACCCCATGCATTTTCCATATGACATTTACGTGATATAAAAACACTGGACTTGATTGGTTTGGACTCAACTCATGGAAAAGAAAGATACTGTTACCCAGAGGCACAGAGGGTTTTCCAACCTCAGAGCACTGTGGACAGTTCCTAATTTTTTTTTTGATGCCCTCAGCTCCCACAGAGGAGCAATCAGCAGCCCTACATGTGACACATGCAACTGGAGCTAATGGGTCTTTGGGACAACTGCTGAATAAGGAACAAAGGCTGAATATTAAGGATGCACAACTGATCCTGGCCAGTTTTAACCTGGCTAAAGCGAGGTGCATTTTGTCACTGTTGTCCCAGCTGAGTGCTCCCCAGGCAATGTTAATGCACAGACTAGAACATTTTCCAAGAAGCTAAAAAGCCAAAGTCCTTTGCAGTAACTTAGGGACATGTTGGGTAAATGGGCTGTGTGCACTGTTTGCTTGCTGCAGCATTCTGATTGTTTTCTGATCTTTAAGCAGAGTTAGGAGGAAGGTCAAAATAAAATTGCCAATTTAGCAAGTAGAAGAGCATGAGTACATGCTACAGAACCTGTGGGACACAAGAACAGAATGTAGCCATGTCTCTTGCATACAGACCCAAGAAAACTCACATGATAGGTTTAAATGCTTTCTTGAATGATTAGCAGAAAGCAGGTCAAAATCTAGGAACTGCACAGGAGCTGGAAGAAAATGTTTAGTGCTACATAAAATCACAGGAATAGTGGGAAAGAAAGAGCTAAGATCTGCCTGCCCAAGAACTAGGTGGATTAATGTTTCCTTTTCTGATCCTGCATTGCTCCCAGTGCACGAGTCAACCTCCATACTCCTTCTCCAGCATCCATGGCAAAAGCCTTGGCTAGAAATGGTATGAATTGAAAAGCTATTTTACAGGCTACAGAGTCTTTGGGGCTATTTGGAATGGACTCTCTATTATTCACGAAGGATAGAATTCTAAGGCAAAAGTGATTATTATGCTTTCTTCTCATCTGCCTTCCTTACAGTATAGGTCAACATTGTTTTGCACGTGGGGAGACAGGGAGATGTAAGAAAAACTTGTTGTCAAAAATAACTGGAGCAGAAGAAGCTGCAGGACTAGAGATACCCAATGCCACTTCTGTGTAATAGACTTAAATTCTTTGCACACAGAGCAGCTTCCATGCAGAAATCTCCCAACCACAAAGACAAGGCATCTGCACAGATTCACAGTGCCAGATCTTTGTATAAGCTGGTGATGGTGGTAAATCAGCACACCAGCCAGGAATTACAGCACTTTGACAAACAATGTAGGGTTAAAGAATCAGTGTCATGGGCAAGGAATACTTGTACTATTACAGATGAAACTCAGCTTCCATCAGAGAGATGCTGGTGACATGATCAAGGTGAATCAGTCAGCAACAGACCCCAGATCCTTCTGCCTGACCTACAGTTTCAATTATTAACACTCCTGCCATCACTCCCACCCCCAACTTCATTCTTAGCTTTGCTTCTGGGAGTACCTAAAGCTTCCTTTTCAGGAACAGAAAAGATTGAACTTCAACCACAAACACATGGGAGAAATGCAGGCAAGATGAACTGCACATACTGCCTGCTTTGTGTCTGGGCATGGTAACTCCTAAGCTAATACTTGTTAGGCAAACTCAGGCAGGGTGGGCAGAAGGTTATCAGAATTGCTGTGTGGTTCACAGGTCCTATAACACCGGCCTTACAAAACGAGGTAGCACCAAAAACAGGACAGATGCACTTGAAGAGAGCACAAGAAGCTGCAATTGGAAATTTCTTGAGCCAAAGGGGCCGTTGCACCACTGGACACAGCACTTTAGAAGCTTGAAGAAAAGTTGCTTTCTTCAAGCAGTTGCTAAGTTATGTCCCTTCTCTTTGTCTTTGAGGTCTTGCCTGGACATGAAGTACATTGCAGGAGGCACAATGAGATCCCTCGGAGCTGTTATTCCGTTGGGCTGTCTCTGGCCTGTAGATAAAAGGATTCCCATATTCAAAGCACTGTCTGGCACTTTCAGCACTACTCAGATTTTGAGGCATGTCAGAGTGTCCTGACATGCTACAATTTGTACAGCCTCTCACACACAGCTTTGGCCTGTCAGCCCCAGAGAGCTGCTGGGCTGTCAGCCCCAGGGTGGAAACAAAGGGCAGCTGTTGATCCCTGCACTTTGTGTAGCCACTTGCTCTCACAACAGGCAAATCACTCTTGCCAGCTGTGGGACTGGATAACATTTTAAGATATTTCAGAAGAGATGAAGTATGGCACACAGCAAGACAGTAAATGAATGCAGATAACTTTTTTATAAGCTAGCACCAATTTTTAAAAAGTGATAAATGCTTATCAGTTCGTTACAAACTGATTTTAACTCGAATCTTTCAAAATGTAATGGAGGCATTTCTTATTTGACACACAGATGTACGCAAATGGGACTGACATGTGCCAGAATATGTGGGGGGAGTCATTCAAGGTGAGCAAATCCTCCTGCCTCTGCTTGCAAATGAACAAGAAGGACACGATTGCAATCAAGTATCTCCTCTCCAAGAGCTCTGAGGAAAGCTCCAGCAGCAGCAGCAGCAGCAGCAGCGAGGAGCACACCTGCCAAAAAAAACTCCTGAAGTTTGAGAAACCAGAGGAAGAGGAAGGTGAACAGACAAGATAAATGCTGGTGGATGTATGTCAGGACAAGAGAAATCATCATGGAGGCTGGGCTCAGGGCATCATGCCAGCCTGCTTTATTCCTTGCTTCCTAGAACATAATAAATCAATGGCTGGTTGTATTAATCTTTCTCTGATGTTTTTGCATCTGCATCACAAAGCTCCAGACAGGTTAGCACAAGTGTAATCCTGTGACTTGAACTGAACAGCTACAAGCCTGAAGGTAACATCTAGGGGTTGACTTTCAAAGAGAAGAGGCACAGGCAGCCCCTGCTGACTTAAGGTGGAACAGTGAGAACTAGAGACCTCTGGAAGGTCATGCCTGCCAGGAATGCACCAAATCTTCAACCCAAACCCTTTGTTAGCACAGGAACGCAGCACGAGTTCCTCTGTGTGTGGCTCTGCTCAGGTAAAGCAGAAATCTGCAGGCAGAAGTAGGTTAGTGAGCCTGGCTACTGACCACTGAAAATGTATTTATTTTGTATCTCAAAAACATTCTCACAAAACAGGGGATTGTGGTGTACCAGACAAATCCTTGGATCCAAATATTGTCAGTATAGAGCATCCACCATCTGTTGCACAGGGCTTTTACCTTAAAAAACAGCAGTACAAAAGTCTCCAACAACACCAATTTGAAGCATAATTTTGAGTGCAATTAATCACACTGAATGATTCCAAACAGAATGACCTCTGACAAACCAAAGTGTCAGGGAGGGCCCTACTCTGATTTCTCCCATCAGTAATTCTGCTTCCCAGCATCACTGTTACAGTCAAATTAAAACCAAAATCTGCACCAGTCCCAGAGGGACTCATCAGGTAAGGGTGAACAAAATCCTGCTTTCAGTTGTGCATCCATACTTCCTCTGACACTGCTGTAGAGTGGACAGGTCTGTGCCATTCTGTACAGCCTTTCATAGTGTCATCACCAGGGAAACTGTGAAAAGAGTTGAATTTGGGGGTCAGATGATCGAACTGTGAAAATCAGCATCACTTCAGTGCTTTCAAAGGAGCTCAGTGCCTGACAGCTTTTAAAGATCTGGCCCACAGTTAAAACAATGGCTTGGCACATCCTGTTAAACTGGGGGAATCTTAAGAATCCAGCACACTTTCTTCACAGAGCTGGTTATTTATTGGAATGGTTTCACACAGCTGCAATAGTAATGCTAAACCCGTTAGGTCATGCTCTGCTTCCAACCAGCTTCTCAGTACATTTAACAATTAGACTAATTCCTACCAGCACTGAATTGTTCTTAGAATGACACTTTGCCACATCTGCATTTCGTGCTAACTCAAATTGTCAGTTCTACTGTTTGAAAAGAAAGAACAAGAATTTGGTCTTCAGTAAAGCTCTCACAGTCTTTTTCCCCCCCTATTTCACTAATTCTGTTCTTTCCTGTCCTTTGTTGCACCTGGATCAGAGCAGAAATTTTCCTGCTTTTTATTTTGACGTGGTCAAAATTCAAGAATTAATTACCCCCTCTCACTGCCATAACACCAACTTTTTCTGTATCACCATGGCCAAAGATTTCCTTCTTGGTTTTTTTTTCAAATATAGCACAATTGTTTCACAGAATCACAGAATATGCTGAATTGAAAGGCACCCACAAGGACCATCAAGCCCAACTCTGGCCCTGCACAGGACCATCCCCAAGAGTCACACCATGTGCCTGAGAGTATCATCCAAACCTTTCTGCCTATGTCTCTGCACTTTTTCTTCCATTCCACTTTATTCTCTTTGCTCTGGATAAACTACTCTTGAAATCACTCCCAATAACCAACTCCTCCATGCTTAGTTTCAGGATGACCCATGACACTGGTTATTGCGTGGTCTTGAAGAGCACCAGGTCCTACAGAAAGATAAAGGACCAAGAAAGACCATTTAGCTCCTATTCATAACTTTCCCACTGAGTCATGATGTACCCTAAGCAAACCATTTAACTCTTTTTTGATCCCAATACTTTTGCAGAGCTACCATATTTCTTCTAGGTCATCTCTTTTCTAGGACAAAAAGTCAAGAACTACTCAGTTGTCCCTAGCATAGAAATTGCCCCATACCTTTGGTCATTCTTTCATTGATCCATGCATTTTCTTCCAGAAAGACTTTCAACCTTGATTTAAAACTTCAAATAATGGGGGGTTTAATTTAAAACTCCAAATAATTGCCCAATGCACCTGATAATTTGTTTCCTCAGTGTTAGAGATAATTCTCAGTTTAACATTTGCTGTTTCAGCTTTCAGCCACTGCTTTCTGCAAAAGTCCTTTTTTATTAAGGAGTTATTCATGTTTCAGGATTGCTTTTCTGCTCAGCAGCACATACCCTGGATCAAACTGCTTCTTAGCCATTAGGTCTGTCTTAGCTCTCTTCAGTTTACATGTGTTATTATAAGACATTCCCTCTCTCTTTAAATCATACTTATGGTTCTTCTCTGCACCTTCTCCAGCCCTGAATATCCTCCCTAAATCATACAAATCAAAGCCATACTCCATGGCAGTGTTAAGGGTGACCTACAGAGAGACCTTGTCCCTGCCTCCCCCACACTTTTCCCTGCACTGCCCGTGTCTACAAGAGCATAGTTTTGATTATTTTCATGCCTCCAGTGTCCATGTGTTACAATTCTTGGTGTTACAGTCAGCTTTCCACTGTACAGCTCCCTGGTCCCACAGGTGTGAACTCTTAAGCAATAGGCTCCTATACTTGCTTTGTACTTGGTTGTATTACAAAACCTTCACCTGAATACACCAACCTTCTTAAGCCACTGTTTGCTCTGTCTGGTTGCTTCAAATTCGCAGTAATTTATGTCTTCAACAACCTTTGTGACACTCAGAAATGGGATCAGTGGGGATTTCACATTTGCAGAAAGGCTAGGATAACTCAGGTAAAGCAAAATGAAAAATAATAGAGATCACTAAAATATAGACTAGAACAATACACTGTGCAGGTAACCAGGGAAAAGAAGGACCCGAGTTACTGGTGGCTGCAGACATCCCCACCTAATGCTGCTTGGATCAGCTGAGTTCTTGCTGTGCCTCACAGCCCAAAAGCTTGTCCTGCCTCTGGACCCACACTGGCCCAGACCACTGAAACGTTTCTGTACTTAGTGACTTGACCAAGAGCTTTATTAAAATGTCACAAGAGTAAATCAAATGCTTTGTGAAATAGGTTGTGAAACATGTTCCTACAGCAATCTGAGGAAACAGACTTACAACCTTTATCAATAAATTACATTGGACTTATCAATGAGACAGTGTTGAGAAAACAAAAGTGATTGCCAATTATTGACTTATTTACGACCTGGCTGAGAATCAGCTTGTGTACTGTGCTACTTGGGCCTGGTGTCACGTTAACCATAACACAGCTAGCTGGGTCATCCTGATTGCTCTGTTTATTTGATTTTCTTTCCTTAAACATTGGCAGAATACTGCAAGTCTTCTGAAATTTCACTGACAGGACTTCTTACAAATGAGATCTCGCTTGACAGTTCTGTTAGAGATCTTTACTATATGTTACCTGAGCATGCTGCTTTAAAATTATGAATGTTACTCATAATAAGGAACCTCATCTTTAATTACTTGCAGACTGAAAAGGATTTCATCATCCTTCTGTAATACTAATACTTCATCCTGTATATATTTCAATACTAAGCATTATTAAAAAACTTGCCCACTGTACCTTGTGCCATTGCAAGGCTTTCTTCCTCAAGCCACAATTTCCTGTAGTACCTTTGGAGTCCTCACTCTATTTTTATAGTTCATGATTCTCCATGGATATTGATTGCCATGTAGTCTTCCTTTTTAAAAAATAATAAGCATCAGTAATTATGACATCTTCAGCTTCTGTTGCATTTTTCATGTGCAACATAAATATTCATTAATCTTCAAAATATACCTGAAAGGAAAATAAGTAGTGAGAAGCAAACCGAGTCAGTGGGAGAGAGTCAGAAAGAGACTTATCTGATCATTGCAAGTATTGCAGAACTCAGACTAGCACAGACAAGTTCTCTTTCAGAGCCTTTTTTCACACTGCAAATGGAGCTGCGCTTGGTAAGACAATCCTTGGAAAAAAGTTATTATGAGGAATTATTAGACAAAAGTTATCATGCAAAAATTAGAGAATCGCAGAATTTTTTAGGTTTGAAAAGACCTTAAAGATCATCGAGTCCAACCATTAACCCAGCACTGCCAATCCCACCACTAAACCGTGTCCCCAAGTGCCACATCTGCATGTTTTTAAAATACCTCCAGGGAGGGTGACTCCACCACTTCCCTGGACAGCCTGTTCTGGTGCCTGACCACCCTTTCCATGAAGAAATATTTCCTCACATCCAATCTAAACCTCCCCTGGTGCAACTTTAGGCCGTTTCCTCTGGTCCTGTTGCCTGTTTCTTGGGAGAAGAGACCAACCCCCACTTTGCTACAACCTCCTTTCAAGTAGCTGTAGAGAGCAATAAGGTTCCTCCTAAACCACCTTTTCTCCAGGCTAAACACCCCCAGTTCCCTCAGCTGCTACTCATAAGACTTGTGCTCCAGACCCTTCACCAGCTTAGTTGCCCTTCTCTGGACACAATCCAGCCTTTTATGAAATAAAATAGTGCAAAAAACCTGAGCATTTGAAAACCAAAACGAGTTATTCAACAATGGATTTCCGTGTACCTTGAAGGACAATGGAATTATACAAATAATAATTTTTGCATTATTTAAGACAAATAACATCAAACAGGCTAATTTCCCTTGCTGAGAGACAACCTGCCTGCAGAGAAAAGAAAGCTGTAAATTAGATATGACTTTTTAAGGTTTTTGATAACATTTAATGTAACATTCTGATAAGCAATCAGAGAAAACCAAAGTGCAAACACAGTCACCATAACACAGGTGCACAATTTGTTAAAAATATATTAAAAGATTACTATGACCATGTTGTCATTAAACACAGACAGATCTTCTGTTTGGAATCCCAGAGGGTCTCTTCTGATTCTAGTCAACGCTTACGTTTAGTCAGACAGTGAAGAAGGGAATTTCCAAGCACTTTGAAGAACAAGATTAGAATAAAAACAATCTTTCTAACCAAAGAACTAGACCAAGCCTCCAAAGGTGACATTCTGAAAAGGGAGGTGAAAAATGCTTGCAC